TTATCTGTTAGAACATGTGTATTACTCAATATTTTCCATTACTTATAGAGATAAAGAAGATAAAACAGATGCCCATGTTGCAAGTCCCGTTTGTAGATGTCAGGCTCACCTGCTATGGAATAGGCCACGTTTTGGAGAACTAAATGATCAGAACCGAACAAATGAATATATCAAGGCTTTGAAGAAAGTGAGTAAAGGCTCCTTAACATCACCCCCTTACACTGCCAAGCCATCTTTGTGCATCTTTCCATCTTCTATGGCTTATCAAGTAGGTCTGGACCATTGCTTTTAACAATGAGCTGTGTTTGTTTACACAGCACAGAACATTCTAAGTTTGAAATAGAGCTGTAATTCAGACGTCATTTTGAAATATCTACTATCCAGTTTTCTTGAATTGCAGGCACAAAAGATCCTTGTAACTGCAGAATATTTTTCAAAGGGAGTGTCTTCTAGTCAGATGCAGACAGGCTTTTGGTGATCACAGAAGGAATTGATATTGATTTTGTACGTGTATGACCAGTAATACCACCTTCATTATTACTGTGGAGTGCATATAGTGCCTTTGTATTAAAATCTAATATTCTGAAGTTCTGCAGCTACCTCTTTGTAACAATCCCTTTTCCCCCAGTCCTAATTGCACTGAATGAGTATCTTTTTTTTAAAACTATATTTAAATGACCAAATGTGGAAAAAAATTATTTGAGAAGTTTTTCATCTGGACCAAAAAGAATGCTGACAACATGTCCTATTTTCTGTAGGTTCTGAAAACAGATAGTGTTTGCCTCTGCATCAGTGATGGCAGTCTGCTTCCTGTGCTGGCTCACTATCTTGGAGCACAGCAGGTACAGTACTTGGCTTCTTCCTGTTGTGTTTCTGGTTTTCAGTTGTTAATTCTCTGGAATAGTTTGATGTTCCAACTCTTGATACTGACTTGTTTCTGAAGTGGCTTCTTCAGTGATAATTGGGGGCTTGTCTTACTCGCTGTATCAGGGATAAAGGTGACTTCATCTTCCTGTGAACACAAAACTTTAGGGACATAGCAAGACCAGCTGTCACTTCTTACCTAGACTGCAGCCAAAAGTTCCAGGTGCAACTTTCTGCGTTCATTTTCTTGTTGCACTTGCTAATGGTGTTTAGGTCCAAGAAGGGTAAGCAACTTTCTCATTTTGTGCTTGCTGTTTTGAGGTTGATCGGCTTTTCTTTCAAGAGAAATGGAGTGACTATAACATTAGGATGCATAAAACGTTACAAGAGCATTGTGCGTGTGTGTTCTACATTTTGTATTGACTTGTGCTCCTTCTCTCGTCACGCAGCTGGGCTGCTCTTAGCACCTCTATTTTGGTCTCCCTGGGTTCTTCAGGTTAAAACATACCATAGTCAGAGACTGAATAGCTAAGAATATTTTATGTAATCCCTGGGCACGTGCTACTTGCTCAGTTATCCACTTAGTGGTTGCATGAGGCTCTGGCCTTTTCTAACTCCATTTTT